GTAAAGAAAAACAAAAAAACAAAATAAAGGTCAAACTATTACATCGGTGGATCCACATGATGCCACATTATTAGTGATGCATTAGTGATGCTAAATTAGTGGTATAAAGCATTTTTTCTGAGAAAAAGACTGGACTTTTTGACTCAGTGTTTTGGAAGGGTGAGTAAAAAATTATTTTTTTAATTTAATTTAATTTTTTGTGAGAAAGAAAAGTAAGTTAAAAGTTAAGAAGTGTCTTTTCACTCATTTTTTAAAACCGCCCTAAAATAGTGAATAAAAAATTAAAATAGATTTTTTAATTTAATAAAACAAAATATCACATGTAAATCATAATCATTTTATTTTTTTCTTATACAAGTCAAAAAAATCAAAAAATTCATCTCAAAAGAGACTTTCTAACTCCAAATTAAAATAATTAAAAATTTTAAAAATTAAAAAATTAACTCACATCTCAAACGATATACTTGTATAATTTACGTAGAAAATTCACGATAATAATGATCTAGGAGAGTGACATTTATGAAAGCTACTATGACTTCTTCTTTTTTTTTTTTGTTATAACAAAGTAGACATTCTATTTTTAAAAAACACATTTTTTTTTTGTTTTTGTTTTTTAAAGGCATACGTAATAAAAAAAAATTATAATTATTAAATTAATTTATTTTTTTTAATGAATAATATAAAGGGATAGTTGTCGAAATAAATACAGATTAAATGAAACCTAATAATCTGAACATAAATGTCAAAATTTTAAATTTGACAGAAATCTAATCCAATATGAGTTATATTAGAAATCTCAAATAATCTACTAAATTTTTTACCACCTCTCACATGGTGTGAAATCTACACACATGTAAATTTGTGTGATTCTCATGTAAAAAATTTTGTAAAAATTTAATGGATTATTGAAATTTGACAAAAATTTAATAGATTATTTAATGTTCATAATATTTTTCATCCAATATCGTGTTTATTGCAGGAAAACTTTCAGGTCATCCTCGAGGACTTTAACGACAATTCAATCAAAATAATAATAATATAATGAAAAATTTTGGGGAGGAGAAACCCAACCATAACTTTGCAGCTTGTCTATATAGATATGAAGAAGAAGAACAGAACTGACCGCAAGCCAAACAAGTCAAGTGTGATTTTATCTACGAATAATAATTAAGAAAAAAAAAAAAGAAAAAAAAGAAACATGACTAAAATTTTGTTTGGAGATAGACTATTTTAGTAATTTTTGACTAAAATATAAAGTGAAAAAAATTAGTATATTTAAAAAAAAAAAATAGAGAGGAAAAAAGATATTGGACTTTTTTGTATAATTCTTGAGAAAATTAGTCTAGGGTCTCTCCCACTTTTCGTAATGGAAGAGATTCACAAAATTATTTTTTGATGTCTAAGGTCCCTAAACATATCACAGAGAAATTTGACATTAACAAATCAAAACTCATCTCTCTCTCTCTCTCAACTTTTCGATTCTCAGACCTCTCTTGTTCCTCACCCAGTGAAGAGTTTCGATTTCTGCGAAGAGTATGTTGAGAACAGTTTGAAGAATCAGATCGATCATGGAGTCGAGGTCGAGTATCGGAGGAGAGAAAGTCAGTGTGAGAATTTGAAGAGAGAAAGTGGTGGTGAAGAACGATACAACGGAGTAAGGCGGAGGAGTGCAACGGCGGTGCGCTTGGCAGTGATCAAGAGGCGGCTAATGTTTTCAAAGAGAACACCATTTTTGGAACTTATGTCATATTATATGATGATATCAAGCAGAGGGGTGGTGGTTGGCGAGTCTGATTCCGGCGGCCGCCTCTGCCGCCGTGGTCCCATTTGTAACCGCCTTTCAAATTGGTCCTTCATTTGCAGCTATACAACTTCTTTAGATAAGGACTTTGGCTCTGGAACTTGGTCTTCTTCACTGCCTTCTGCAACTTTTGTTGCCTTTTCTTTTACAATTCTTGTCATCTCTTGTTGCCTAACGGAGGGAAAAACGACATTAAGCATGATACATAATAATCTCTCATCTTCTTCTTCAATAGGATCTTTGCCGAAGCAGAAAACATAAATAGCTTCAAGGGCTTTCTCAGCTCGAACCTCCATTGAAACAGTAGGGGCAGGTACGTTCAACTTTGCTCGCTTCTGAAGTTGGCCAATTAAATACATAATTGACCACACAATACAGACAAGACTGTTAGAGTTTGGGTTTTTCAACAGTTTTTTATGCTTTACATGTTGCGAATTTTAGGTTATGCATTTCTAACAATTTGGGAGCAAAAGCCAAGTACTTCAAATTTATTTCTACATTGGGGGTGTTTGTTTCAGTTTTTCAGAGCCAACTTATAACTTTTAGCTTTGAAAAAGTTATTTTTGACTGTTTGGTTAAACTTATTTCAAACAGCTTCTGATTCTAACGGCTTATTTTAATTCAAAAAAGCCGATTCTGAGAAGCTGCTCACCCCTTGCTTCTGATTATCAGCTTCTGCTGTGGACATGTTAATTTATGGTTATACTCTTAAATTTTTTTATTTTTTATTTTTTTAAAAATAGAAAAAGACTTAAATGGACTATAGATTATTATTATTATTTTTTATGAGAAATGTAGACAAACAAAAAATAAAAATTAATTGAAAAAGTTATTTCACAGTTTATTTAACAAACACTACTCAGCAACTTAAATCTATAATCCAATAGCTACACCAAACAGATTAACAACTTCTGATTAAAGTCATAATCTATAATCTGTTAAGTTATAATCTATAAGCTGTTTTAACAGCTACATCAAACGGGGCCATTGTAGCATAGTAGTCAGTACTTCCTAATAAGGGAAAGGGTTATAAATAACACTGTTCACATTTTTGAATCATTAAGATAATAACACAAATTCTTTTGGGGTATTTCTTGGGGTTTTGTAGATTCTGTATCTACAATAGCTAGAGCAGATTAGAACTAATCAACTCCTGCAAATCCAACAACATATATATATACACATGAGAGACCGTGAGAAGAAGTTTGCTGGAGGATTTGTCCAGGCAGCTTGGATTGGAGGAAGATTCAGCAAAAATAATATGTAATGAAGATTTGGGTCTACCAGAGAAATTCTCTGATTTTTAAACTGAATTTTCTCTAGGTTGAAACCAAAGAAATTCTCTGGTTTTTAAACTGAATTTTTGCTTCTACAACTTGTCTCCTTGTCTTGGCTTTTCTCCAAACTTACTACACTATCGTCTCCTCAACCAAACCATAAATAAAGTAAGACCATTTGTTTTTCTGAGTGCTATTTGCTTTCATGTCTCCAAGTTAGTTGGGTCTCTTCTATTTGTTCTCTAGGTATCAACATTTGTTTAACCCCTCTCTCTCTTTCTCAGGTTGAAGCCTTTGGTCATTTTTCACCTTAAGAACACGTTCTTGGTGAAAACTGTAAGGGACAGAGAGAGGGCAATGAACCCTGGGAGTGTGGATTTTCCAGTGACTCTTCCAAGCCTTCAACTTTACTTCCTTCTAGGAATTGTATATGTTGTGGTTACTCCCATCCTTCAAACAGCTCTCATTGTGCTTAGATTATCCAGAGGAATTTCTCTGGAGAGAAATTTGGAAGTCCAGAGAAATTTGGTGGACGAATCTGCAAACATCAATATCAGTTACAGAGAAATTCAAAATTTCTCTGGAGATAAATTCGAAAGTCAGAGAAATTTGGTTAAAACACATTCTGAAAACACATTTGATAATAGGGAGAGTTGTTGCTGATCTCTGTGCTTTACCATGAACCACAATGGGTGTAAGTGCAGGCATTTGAAATTTTATCTAGATCAATTTTCTAATTTTTCCTTCCTTTCTCAAATCAGAGAAATTTGTAAAATTTCTCTAGAAAGTCCTCAGAATTTCTCTGAGCCAAATTTCTCTGTGATGTGAATTTTCTCTGGACTAATTTTCTCTGGACCAATTTTCTCTAGACTAATTTTCTTTGGATCAACTTGAGGGATCTTAGACATTATGAAAATATTTGGTATCCTTTATGCTATAAAATGTTAATACCAGGTACCTTAAAAAAAACCCCCCATAATTCTTTGCATTTTTAGTGACTTTTTTATTACAACAATGTTAGGTGGCCCGAAAAGGAGGTTGACTAGAATGACTCAAAATTTGTCTTGCCGGTCGTCCGGGTGGACATTCGGTGAGAAAACTCACAGCCGCGGTCGACAAAGGTAACATCTACAGTAGACAATTTTTCACCCGGTCATCCGGACGGACGTCCAGTGCACACCCTTTCAAGTCATTCGAGCCCCTTCTTTTCGAGCCCTCAACCATTTCTGTTTTGATTATTTTTAAACTTCCCAAATTGGGGACGATAGAGCTGCCTTGAGTATTCACAGTTTGGTAGTTCATATTCACGTCTCTTGCAATTGGTAGCAAAGTTTCATCTCTTTCTCTCTCTCAGTTAAAGCAAAGTCTCGTTTGGCAATATTATTTTTTAGCTTAAAAATCAAAAAATTATTAAAAAAAATCAAAAAACCAACAAACTATACCAAAAAATCAAATATTATATTTTTTCTTTACTTTTTACACATCTTTTCGTAAAAAATTAAGAAGTCATCCCAAACATACTAATTTTTTTTATATCATATTTTAACCAAAAAGTTAAAAAGTTACCAAAAAACCTATTTCCAAACGAGGCCAGGCCTTAAGTTCAACAAAAATCAAATCTCGCTATCCCAAAGCATTCCTAATCCATTCGATCATGTTTTGAGATCCACGTCTCAAAAATGGTTTGAATTGCATTACGACAAAAAAAAAGGTTGATTTTAGGGGAGAGGATTCTTGGCCTAATAGCTCATAACTGCAAAGATTAATTAAAATACACTTCCATGCCAATCATAGGTCAGAACAAACCGAATATCAGCAAGGAAAAATTTCAGATACAATCTGTGAAAAGATTAAGGCAAACAAGACCTCCAAAATGTAAACCAGGTCTATTTCCACCTTTTTTTCCCAGGACAAGGCATTCGTGAATCATTCATTTCTCATAAAACTAACTCAACTTTACACTGTTTTATCCGAAACGACTTTCCTTCCCTAACATCTCCAACTATACAACAAAGCAATTGCCACCAAAATAAAAAATAAAAAAATGAATGTACATGAATTCAAGTTTTTTATGGTTCACCTGCTGACTGGAAACTAGACAGACATGGAGTAAGAGGAACAATGTAATTGCTCAGAGATATTAAAAAAATATATATTAAAATATGGATTAAGCACCCACCACCATGATTGGAAGGCTCTTCATCTAATTCTTATTAGAATTCTTCATTAAACTCAACAAAACTCCAGAACTAAGAGTTGTAGCTACGAAACCAAGAGAAACCTCGGTTGATACGTGATAACCTGCAAGGAAGAGTTGATTAATGCTAAAGGAGAACTTTCCTAATTAAAGAATATAATTGTGTTCAGAAATTACACACCAAAGAAATCTAAGATCATCTTGAACCCAATAAAGCCCAGGACAACAGCAATGGAGGGCTGATCAAGAAAACAAATTGGAGAGTCAAGCCATACAAATCCAAACTTATTGACACAAATCAATTATAACAGGCATAATGATAAAAGATAGACAGCTTAAACTAGATAAAAGAAATACAATTAGACATCAGTTGTATGATAACAATTGTATCAGTCTTATCGTGTAATTATTTAATAATTGTTTCGATTAAGTAATTTTTATTTTTTATTTTATAATAAGTAAGGATTAAGATTAAAATAACAATTCAACTTCTATTTGGTCTCACTGTTTAATAGGGAGCCTTAGACCCCTCTCCCTTCTTTCCCAGAATGTATTTCAAAGGCAGGGGAAAGGTTATTTTAAGGCAATGTCAACATGATTAGCTTCTAGTTCCACTCACTGACTCTCACAAAAATCCCTAAAGTATACCCCATGTCATTCTGATTCATACTTCAAACATATGGATGCATTGTAATGACCATGTAAGGGGAAAAGTAGAACCAGCCTACTCAAGCAGCAGGCTTCATAAATTCAGGCATAGCAGGTCCATTTCTCACCTGTAAATACTCCAAATCGGCCATACCTTTAGAAATAAGGGTGTATAGTGACCTTAAACCTACATTTGACAGAAATATTCAATTAATTTTCCACAAAAGAAAACACAATTATATGTTAATGAAGGGGTTATATTTCACAAATGCTCTTGTGATTCAAACAAGAGATAATTGAATAGAAGTAGAAGTAGAGTTCCATGTAGAAAAACCCTCATACCTAATTAAGTAACATTAGGTAGTGGCTCAAAACATCCAGAGAAACATGAGACCCAAAACTAATGGCAATATATATATATATATATATATTTCTTCTCAATCTACTCTTGTTTGCCAAAAACTTATATTATGCATAAGTGATCACATAAATAGGGGAGAAATTTAACAGGTGGAATTTAGCTTGAATTATAATTACTTTTGAGAGAAATCAGAAGAATGAAGACTAAGAGTTACCTAAGATGGCAAAGAAATTAGATGTGAAAACTACGAAAGGGTCTCGAGTAACACCAAAAACTGCTGGTATAGAGTCAACCTGAAAATGGGCATCAAATTATCACTAAAATACTAACTACAAAATCCTCAAGCTCTTTGAATATATACACCTAACATGGACAGGGACAAAGGGAACCCACTGCGAATGCAATATCACTGAGCTCAATAACTGCCACTGTCAGAAGTAAAGGTGTGGCCTGCCAAAAATGTTTGATGCCCGTTAAAAGTCAATTTAAACTATAATTTAACACAATCAATGACCTTTAAATTTCTGGGCAATAAAAGAAGTCATCTGCTGATCCAGAGAGAATTTTGAAGTCCTTCCATGCACTTAAAAATTATCTCTTATTAAGTATGCTGAATAGATGATGCAGTAAAGTGGCAAAAATATTGCGCTAAGATAAACCCATCAAGGACTTACTTTCCACACACCATCCTGAATTGTTATGAATCGATTTCCGTCATAGTTAGCTGCAATATCAAGAAAGAATGATAGCAGATGAGGATCTTGAGCTACAAAATAGACAATGCATAGTAAAAAATGAATATGTAAATTAAACCATTAACCACCAGTCGAATGATATTTGGAGTGAAAAGACCCTAAAGATGGCTTAGAGAACAAACATAGGATTAGCACAATAATAACTAACTTTTCTCAAATGGTTTGAAATCTAATCACAGGCCTTGTAGCCAAGTGGTAGCAGAGGCCCTAAGAAAGCAAGGCTCCTCGTTTATGACCCAGCATAGTGTTTTCTTAAACCAAAAAGAACACAAGATGGCTCCAAACTCTATTAGCAAAACAATATTAGTCATGGAGCTCCAAATTGAGTTTATTACATCTACAGCCTTTTCAATTATGCAGCAAGCCCACAATCCACATACAATACAACTACTTCTTGAGATCAGCTTTTAAAGTTTTTTGGGGCATCTTGTAACACAGCTTGAAAACTCTTCGAGTAATCATTAAAATTCAGAAATTCCAATTGATTAACCAATCATGACAATGTACATTGAACCACTTCGCAACTTGGAATGTGCATATAGAAAAGAAAAATGTGGAGAGCGAATTTTACATGTCACGGGGATAAATTTCTGGCATGTCTTCACTATAAAGTTGTCGGATAGATCAGAGTCCTCTTCTTCAACAGCAAACAGCTATGATAAGATGAAGAAAAGTTAAGTCTCGTGAACTAAGTAGCAAAGTTCATACCTTATCAAGCATTAAAATATATATATATATAGATGTCAGTCAAGGATGCGGACAATAAAGCCATCATTTAATGACAGCATCAGACATGAAATATCAAAACTTGTTCAAGTCTTCCTGTTTACCTTCACTAATTTAGTATTTATAGCAAAGAGTCTACAAATTTCATTAGGCAAAAAAAAAAAAAAAATGGGAAGCAAACACGAATATCATCTTGTAGAGTGGGAGGAGGTACCTTTCCTAGTCCATACAGGAGGGTCAGGAGTTTAGAATCCTGAATTATTCAAACTTGAAAATGGCTGTCAAGATTTAACTTAAACAGGGATGACTTTAAAGGAGAGTGGTCGAAGAAATACAGGGGTTACAGTGGCTTAAGGGGGTCATTGGACAACTTTGGAAATTGTGAGGCCATATGAAGTGGTTCTTTAGAAAGGCACAAGGAGATGTCAGGAGGATTCCCCCAAAATATGAGATTCTCTGAGCAGGACTGGACATTGGACACATAAGGAGCTATACAGAACTTGAATTTGAACAAGAGAAAAGGGGGCATTTGTATTTGCACAGTGGAGGAGCTCTGTAGGTGAGGAGTAGATAAGGTCCTCCACCTCGTTGAAGGTTAGATTATTCCTTTTTGGTAGAGTGGGCAATTTGGGCCCAAACTCGCGAATTCGCCCACAATTAATGGGTTTGGGTCAATCCTTTTACGTAAATGGGTGCTAATTGGGTTAAAAAAAATTGTTGGTTTATTAATAGGTTTAAACGGGTAAACCCATTGAAACCCGTTGGACACCCGTTCGCCATTGAAGTTGACAGTGGCTTTGAACCTCTGCGCGTGATCTGGACCTTCTCGTATGCAGGTATACGAAGGTAGGTTGAAGCAGCTCTGCTGCACCATTTCTTGAAGCTGGTTTGTACATCTCACTCTCTATATATGTATGTATGTTTGTATGTATGTATGTATGCATAATTTGTACTGTTTGTCTACAGGAATTGGAGCTTTTCCGGCAGAAAAGCCGTCGAGGAAGGAATGGCCGGAGCCAGATCGGATCGGTGGGCTTTGGGGTCAGAACGGATCTGGAGAGGGTCAAAGGTTTTTAGGGTTTTTTTTGTTAGAGAGAGAGAGAGATGAAGGTGAGAGAAAATGGTTGTGCAGTGAGGATGTAGTGAGGGTGGGGAGATTGAAGTGAAATTGGGGGGGTAACTTTAATTGTAATTTTTAGTGCTTTTTTCGGTGGGAGTCAGGCTGCATAGATGTCATCATCTTCTGTTAAAACCTATCACCTACTTCACCCACTTCACCTACTCCACTACACCTACTCCACCCACTTCACCTACTCCACTTCACCTACTACCTATTCTTCTCTTCTATATATAGGAATCATTGTAAACATAACATATATCAATCAATAATACATTAATTTTAACATGGTATCAGAGCAAGGTTAAAGATCTTGGTGTTCTTCGCCTTCCGGCGGGCGGCAACCTTGCCTTGACCGCCCGCCGGATCTCAACCAATTCAAACTAAAAATTTGTCTGTTTAATATTTTTCATTTTACAGTAGGTGGACAATGGGTTTTGGAGTAAAACCATTGACAGTTATACCAAAAAGTACTAATCATTTATTTACAGTAGGTGGTTATGTTTTAGAAACAAAAACAGTGACTGACATGCTTTCACACACACATGCGCGCGCACACACAAATGTATATATATATAAACGAATTGGGTCGGGTTGGGTCGTGCCCACATCTGACCCGTCACCTAAATGGGCACTTTTGGGCTAATACTCTTTTGACCCGTTACCCATTTAAATCTGCCCAAACCCACCCAAATGCCGGCTCTACTTTTTGGGTGTGTAGTGGTGTGAACCTTATGAAATCCTTGTTGGGAATTCCCTGTTATTTGAGTACAAATACCCCTTTCCTCTCATTTTAAAAAATAAAAATAAAAACAACAACAACAACAACAACAACATAGATTTAGAGCCATCATAATTGGGAAATTGGGTCAGCATCGCCTTTTGCCAAAGGATGGTTTATGTGGGGATGGTGGATGTCACTCAAGACAAGGATAGTTGATTCCAGAATCAACTCTTCATTTCCTTGAAAGAGTATGAGGGGGCACTGAGGGCTGCTTAGTGAAAAAAAGTCACCTTGAACTAGGTTGACCACGGGAATTTTTTGTTGGTCATGTTTCGAGGTTATCACCAAGTTTCTGTCCCTAGATGAGATGCATAAAAACCACACATGAACCTGGGATAAATTGCAGAACTTGAGCTCTTATATGCAGGAATGTGTGCTAAGTTCAACTGATAATATACTCAATTGGAAAAGTACAAGAGATATTGCATCACCGTAGCTACATGTTTTTAGAGGAGAAATTGCACCTTGAATGATGAATATAGAAGTATTGCAGCCAACAACAGGTTTACTGCCTCGAACCTCTATAACATTGAGACAAGTTTTAGAAGTAACCGGAAATAAAATATATATACATATATATAACAATAAAACTAAAAGAATACACTGCACTATATACTAGATCAGGAACTGAACAAATGGAAGAAAGTGGAAATATAAACCGGAAAATTTGTAGTATGTACTAGAACATGAACATATGTGCCCCCTTGTATGTATTTATGCAAGCATTTATGCAATTATAAATGTACTTCAAGTTAGAGTTAACCTGAAGGGTGGCTGTTCCCAGAAGTATTATTGACAACCGGAAGACTATTGCACCAGCGATTCCATATGAAAGCACCTTACTCTACATTCCAACGTGATAGAATTCATCAAAAAGGTTCCACATAAACAAATTTAATCTTAAAAGGTAAAATAAAAATGAGAACCCAAATGACCTGAAGGTTGTGCAAGTATATAGTTCTTTTTGAGTATGAAAGCTTAATACTACACCTGATACATAATTGGAACTTTGAAGTACTTGAAAATCAATACAAAAACAAAAAGATTGTCCACTGACAAACTCTGCTCCAGTAAATACCTGAACATATTAAACAACCACCATTACATTGAATGACGAAAAACTCAAAGAAAATAAACTTGAGGTAGCGAAAAAAAACACAACCTATAACTATGGAATCAAAACAAATGTAAAAACAACCAGAATTAGCAGACACAAATTTTAACTGGTAAGAAGTAAATGGTATTAATCAAGAAAAATAGTGAGAACTCCAAGAACCAGAAAAGCAAAGATAGAAATGGAATAGTTTGAGACAACAAATTTACTTTTAAAAAAAAGCTTTTGCCCAATGAAGAGTGCAAGAATGGTCAGACGTATTGATAATTAATTAGAACTCTTCGACGAATGTTGTAATACTCCAGTTTATATTAATAGAGACTAAATGTGCAAAGAATCTACATTCTAGGATTCAAAATCTATGGAGGAGGATGCTCGTTCATCAAATATATGCTTTCAAAAGTTGTGTACAATCTTCTTTGCAAGAAATGAAGATCAGTTAACTACTCAATCCAGAGAACTTTCCAGAGAAAATTGAATAACGACAAAATAAGCAAATAACTTTCTCTTGCACCACTATACTCCATCAATCAACAGGCCTCTACACTTGATAAGTACATCCAGTAGTGGTTGCAGTGAAGGATGCAGTGTGTCAAGAATAGTATTTATATACCCCAAACTGAGTTTTGCAATTAATCACCAGGTCCACAAGATTGATGCCCAGGATATTGTCAAAAAGTTTATTCCCTTAAACTAGGTAAGGCAAACTCCTAAATATGAATGCTGCTATAATTTATTATTCAAGAATAGTCCAAAACACATCAGTATTTTGCAATTTGTTCAAGGGAACTACTTATACTATATTAAGAAACTTCAAGCTGGTGAGGGTTCACAATAATATATGTAGTCATAAAAAGAGAAAGAGAGGAGACATATCAGTATGTATACATACTTAAAGACAGAAGGAGAAAAGAGGATAATTTTTTTTCCCCATTGCCATGAGGAAACATGAAACCCTTACACACGTAACTTTTATAGTTCAAAAAGCTAATATAGGCTTCATGCTGCATACCCAGCAAAAAACTCTGATGCCTTGCCAACTCCATCTTTGAGACCCAACCCAATACCAAATGCAACTGCTGTGCATACCTAAGCAACAAATAACTACATTGACTTCAATCAAGGTTATTACAAAACAAACAAGTGACCACAGGCATAAAAGCAAGTTGGCAGCTCCTTACACATAAGGCAACAGCTCTAACAGAGGACGCATAAATTTCTGGCCTGCTTTTATTTTCTTTCAGGTTACTGGAAGAGGTTATGTGAGAGGTCTCAACATTGTTAATGCCGTGAGATGATCGAGAACCGGGTATATCTCCTTCTGAGATTCATTTGAGCAAAACATCATATTCATAAATAACAAAACTGCATAATTGTAGTCAATTTAAGGAAGGATACAGGGTTTGACAAGAATTACACAATTTAATTACAAAAATATAAATATTCACAAGTTAAAACAATAAAAAAAAAAATTACACAATGCAGAAGACATTGTTGTCGAGAAAATGGTAACCTATCAAACATCTTCTTTTTTAAAAAAAATTATTATAATAAATGCAATATTATTAAAAAGCAGCATCAAGTTGATGCAAAAGAATAGTAACCTATCAAACATCTAAAATTAGCAAGAGCTACATGAATTCAACACATCAAGCTAGTGCAATGAATCATTATAAATTCAATCATTATGAATTCCACACATTCTTTTAACTACACCAATTGTCTTCTTTTATTCCCTTTGTCATGTGCCCTTGCTTTCTCGAATCACTGTTCCACTATAGGGACCCATGTAAACCGCGTTCAGTTTCTTTATAAACTTGGTTTCCCCTACATCCATATTTTGATTACCCATAACCCCACTCCTATGTTATATGCACCCATATTATGTTAAGCGGTTAGTGAGTTTCATGACTCCACCTTATCTTTCTGCATGTCCACTTAACATATCCAACACGAATAGTTCACAGTGATATGTGTCGCCTACATAACTGGAGATTACCCTACGACCTACTATGGACTCACTCCATCCTCTAGGCTTAGCTCTAGACTCTCAAGGACTGATAATATTAGCTTGCATCAAAGTTTGTCACACTCCCTAAAAAGTTTGTCAAATTTACATTTCCAAATCTAAAATTGCTTTGATTCTGAGTTCCAAAAACAATTATGAAGTAGTTCCAAAATTGAAAAACAAAAAAGTACCGAACTTTTATTAAATTTGACTTGTCAATATAATTCACAACCCTAATCATAAAATTTTAATGATAAATCATCGTCACCTGAGTTGGATAACCCTTCCTCCTGCTCAGTTCCTCTCAAACATGCAATCGGCAAACAATACCCTCGTCGAAAACGATTGCGAACTGCAATCCAAATTCAACACGTATTCAAGCTTATATATATATATATAGAGAGAGAGAGAGAGAGAGAGAGAGAGAGTACCTGAATGTGAGGTGTGAAAGGGAAATTGAGAAAATTGAATCCTGGAAGACTTGGGAGGTTGAAATGGCGGGGAGGTTGGGGAAACCCTAAGAAAGCTTGAATCGAATTTGGGGGGAACTTGGACGCCATTGTAGATGACAGAAGTTAGTCCCATGCTTTGAATCATATATGGGTATTGAATCATATATGACAGAAGTTAGTCTTGGTTTTGTTAAATGATGATGGGACCTTTACTACTACTCTTATCCGTATAACGGTCGGTGAGTTCGGTTTTCCGGCGAGTGGTGTCGTATCATCTGCTGGGTTTCGCGCAAGTGGCGATAGAAACTAGAGGTGTCAACTTTGGGTTGTTTGGCAGGTAAAACAGTAACAAAATTTTTAAAAAAAAAAAGTTATTAAAAGGTTCACATAAATAAAACAAAAAAAATTATACAAAAAGGTCGTATTTTCTATATTTTTTTACATATTTTTTGCCAAATATTTTTTTTTTTGGCACTCTTTTGACATACAAAAAAGGCACCTGGAAATAATTTGGTGCAATTTGGTTTAGTTTTTAAGAATTTTGGCAAGTGTTACAAGTTACAATAGCCATTTTGCTTTACTATATTATTTTATTTAAGTTATAATTATTTTATTTAGATTATATCACTTTTTATTTTGATCATATTATCTTTCTATCACATTACTTCAATCTCAACTTATATTTTACATTTTTTTTATTATAAAAAGTCAAAAAAAATATAGTAATTTAACACTTTCCCAAACAACCTCTAAATTAGTTTTTGGATCAAAAAATTAAAAAATATACAGTTTGTTTTGTTTTAGTTTTCTGAATTTAGTTTTTTTTAAATTGAGGTTTTTATTTTTCGTGTTTTTTTGTTTTTAGTTAATATTTTTAAAATTTTAAGTAATTTTTTTATTTTTTTAGATGCACCATACTTAGATGTATCTAAATAGTAAAATATTTGTGAAAAATTTATAAATACACAAAATATAAAAAATATACTGAATTTTCATTTTTTTTTTGTATTTTTAGTATTTAGTGATTTTTTAATAAAAATTTCACAAATATTATACTTTTTAAGTGTATTTATGTTAGCTGTGTTTAAAAATTAAAATAATTGCTTAAAATATGGAAAAAAAAATTAGTGAAAACAAAAAAAAATACGAAAAATGAAAAGGTAGAATTTTCTAAAATGCTTATTCTGAAAACTAAAAACAAACAGAATGATAAGTATTTAATTTACCAATTTTCAAACCTCTTTTTAAAATTATTTTTTCTCTCTTCTCTCTCATTCTCTTTTTTTTTTAATTAAGTAATAATAAATCAATCAATAATTTTTTTTCTCTCATCTCTTCTCTCTCATTTTGTCATATTATACGCATCAATCAATCAAATTTTCTTTCATATTCATCTATTCAACTACCAAAAAACTACAAATCGTCCTAAAATTACGTTTAAAACTTATAACCCAACAATTTCTTAATTTTTTAAATTCTTTTCAATAATTTATCTTCCAAAATATAACTTCAAATTCTTTTAAAAAACTAAATTAATGCTTCGTTTGGCATCATAGGTTGGGGTTAAAATAACCATAAAATATGCTAAAAATTCAATAAGATAAAATGTCACATATAAACAATAATTATTTCAATTTTTCTCATGTAAAAATAAAAAAAAATCAAAAAATAATCCCAAACGAAACTTTTTAATCCATACCAACACAACCAAAAAGCCAAAAAACTAAAAAGTCAACTCACTTTCTAAACGAAGGCCAAATGAAGCCTTAGTGTTTTTATTTTTTTCATTTATTGTACTGAGTAATTTTTTAATTTTCTTTTAAAAAATAAATTATAAAAACTCAATCTAATAAAAAAGTGGTTTGGTGCATATATATGAAGAAGAGTCGTGTTCTCCTTTGCAACTAAGTTAAAAGTCAATTTATTGATTTTTTGATTTTTTTAAGTCAATCACATCTTTATTTTTTTAAAAAATATAAAAAGTGATGTGATTTAAAATGAGTAAAAAGTTAAAAACTGACTTTTTTTTTTTTTTTTATTAAAAAAAATTGAATAAGGTTCCCCCTTTCCCCCCCAATTTAGATAAAGTGTTTCTCAACCCCAAGAAGTCCATGAAGGGAATTTTTTAACCCATTTAGTCCCATGTATGTATATGTTGTTATTCATAAAGTCCATTTCTTGATTTAACAAAATATTTTTCTTGGACACTTGCCCTTATATTTATTTTGACTACCCTTATAAAAAATATTTTTCTTTCAACGATGCAATTTAATGATCGTGAAAATTCATATTTAAATAATTCACATTTGTAGGACATGGGTAAATTTGGCCCGTGGGCCGGCCACCGGAACACCGCCCACTGGAGCCCAGGGCGGGGGCCCGGCCCGTTGAACAATGTGAATATTCACATTGACTGTTTAAAATTCAAATTAATAGAAGTGTACAAATTGGCCCGCCGTCCGTGGGCGGCGTGAAACAACCCGCCCGCAGCCCATGGGCGCCTGGGCCGGGCTCGGTCCGGCCCGTTGACAATGTGAATATTCACATTGACACTGTTACATTCACATTGATAAGAGTATAAAATTGGGCACCGCGGCCCAATAGGTGCGGCCAAAAGCACCCGCCCGCCAAACCTGGGGCAGCGCGCCCGGCCCGGCCCGTGACAATGGTGAATATTCACGATTGACCATGTTAACATTCCACCATTGATAGGAGTGTAAAATTAGCCACCCGCGCCTCGGTAGCTGCCGAGAACGCCGCCCACGGCCCGTGGGCTCGAGGCCCGGCCCAGCCTGTTGACAATGTGAATGTTCAATTGACAAATGTTAACATTCACAATTTGATAAGAGTATATAAACTAGACAGCAGTCTACGGGCGGCGGGCCCCGACTTAGCCCGGCCCGGCCGACCCGTTGACAATGTGAATATCACAATTGAACCATGTTTCACATACTTAGTAATTATATAGAGAACAACCCAGTCCCGTGGTGGTGCGAAACCCGCCCGCGGCCCGCGGGCGGACCCAGTCCGGCCCGTTGACAATGTGACTATTCACATTAACCATGTTAACCTTCACATTGATAGAGTATAAAATTGGCCCGCGCCCTGGACAGCGCCAAAGCCGCCCGCTGCCGCCCGTGGGCGGGCCCGGCCCCGGCCTGTTGACAATGTGGATATTCACATTGACATGTTACATTCACATTGATAAAGAGTGTAAAATTGCGGCCGAA